GCAGCAGCAGGAGCTGCGTGAAGTGGAGCATGGCGGCAGCGGCGGCAGCGCGGCGGCAGCGTCTGCTGAGGCGGCGGCGGGGGCGGCGTTTGGGGAGGGTGCTCCTAGCGCGGCGCGGCGCGCGTGCGGCGGCGGCCTGAGCCGGACGCGCAGCATCAGCTCCCCGAACCTCAACGCGCCCCTCCGCGAGGCGGCAGCGGCGGCTCCGGTGCGGCAGCACCAGGAGCAGCAGCAGGCGGGGCAGCAGGCCGCCGCGCCTGGCCCGGTTTCGCACCGTCTCGATCATCTGGCACCCAATGCGGCAGCGCCAATGCAGGCGGCAGCAGCGCCCGCGGCAGCAGCGTCGGCGCCGGCTGTGGCGGCGGTCCCAGCGGCTGCGAAGAAGCCCCCTCCGGGCCCGAGGCCGCCTCCGCCGCCGGCGGCGGCTCAGCAGCAGCAGCAGCAGGCGGGCGTGGCGGGCGGCGCGACCGCCGTGCGCCGCGTCTCCATTGACGCCTCCACGGCATCTAGCGCGCGGGACCAGCTGCCCGGCCCCGCCGCAGCCGACCAGCCGCAGCCGGCGCCGCCGCAGCAGCCGCTGCAGCCAAAGGCGCAGCTCATTGCCCCCGACGCCCGCGAGGGGGAGTGCAGCCCCGGGCATGTGCATCGGTGCGCATCCACGCACAAGGGGCGCTTCCGAATAGTCAACAGCTGAGGGTCGCCGCGGCGCACGCCGCGCGGTTCGCAGCTGAACAGGCGGCCCGCTCGGGTAGGGCGGCGCAGGAGGGGCCAAGCAGAGTCAATCGGGGCCGCCGGGGCAGGCGGGCTCGGGTGCCCTGGTCAATGCAGGATTGCATGCGTTGTCTCAGCGCTGCAAACTTCAGCGCTGCATTCTTTTGTGTGTTTTGTTCAAGCCTTGTGTTGCGTTGAAAAGTGTGCACGTGTGTGTTCCCCCACGCTCCTTCCACGCTCCTTACCGTCTGTTGTGGGGTCATGCAGAGGGCGCGCATGCCAGCTCCACGACTGCCGCGCCCCGCCCTCCCGCCCTGGCCGCCCCGCCTTTCGCATCGGCTGCTGACTGCGAGAGCGGCGCGGGAGGCTGGCCTTGGCGCAGCGCGGGGCTGCACAGGCCGGCTGGGACTGCCAGCGCAGGCCACATGGATTTTCTCGTTACCATAGTCCGACAAAACCGGGAAGCACCTGTTTGTCGTGCGTTCCCCCCTTGACCAGTCATTCGTCGCCGGGACTTGGGCGGGTTTTTACCTGCACCTGCCCACCACGGCCACGTGCGCCCACCTACTCCCCATGCGCGTGCCCGCGCCAGGCCCGCCGAACAGCCAACACGCATGCGTCGTTGGTTCGCATCAGTTCCAAACCCCCGCCGCATGCCTCGCGTCTGGCCGACGCATTCCCTGCATCCCGCATTTCGCATTTGAGCTTGGTTTCGCCCCTGCATAAGCTTTTTTGGTTTGCTGTGCGCAGAGGCAGCCTCGGCGCATCAGCCCAGCCATCAGTGGTAACTGCACCCCTTTTATCCTTGAGACAGGACAGAACGGTGGTGTCGCGCAAGGCGTCGCATTGGCAATGCACGTGCCACCGCTCTGGCGGCGCGGGAACCCCACAGGCGGTGGAGCATGACCCGCACAAGCGGGTCATGATGCACACCCCCACTCAGGCTGTGGTGCGAGGTTGCGGCCTGGCAGCACCCAGCCTGCACTGCCGGAGCTCGGGTCGGGCGCTCTGCGCTTTGCATAGGTTGGCATGCGGTGACCGGCCAGAGGGCATGTTGCTTGGTTTGGAATCCTGGACTTATGGCGTGCTTGTCAGGCAAAACGTTGCCATGTCCGACAAGCCATGCGGGGACTGCGTCGCCTGGCATGTCTTGCATGTGTAGGGCACAAACCGAGTGACGTTGGCGGGTGAGCAGGTGTTGAGGGTGTCGCTCAGCTACCCCTGCGTGCGGCGTCTCTCCACACAGTTTACAAGTCTGATCAAAACGCGGATCATGCGGCGTACGTACACATATTCTGAAAGCCTTACGAATTTGTTGGCGGGCTCCGAAGACCGTATCTGGACTACAATGGCCGTGCGATGGGCCTTGATCCTGGTGATGTGCTCCCTGTTATCTGGTGTTCGCAGCTGTGCAGGAGCTGAGGTGAGATGCCCGAGCAGTCTGACTGTGACCATATCTGCGATCACTGCTTGCCTGGCTTTATCACATGCTTGATGTTGTGAATTCCAAGTGTGGTGACGGCCTGCGGCAGCCGCCGATCCCTCGCTACCCGTCGGGCACTATGTGCGCCCAGGTTGGCGTGTGCTCCCTCGCGTCCCTGCAGCAGGCCGATGCGCCCTGGAAGCGCCTTGCTCCGCTGCCCCCGGCGCCCGCATCCTGCCCAACGAGCCTGCGCGAGAAAATCATATGGGGTGGCGCTGCGAGCGCATACCAGATTGAGGGCGCGTGGAACGCGGACGGCAAGGGGCCATCCATCTGGGACACTTTCGTGAGTGCCGGGCATGACTTAGATGCGAAGCAGGGGCCGTCTGCCGCCACCCGCACGCTCGATGTCCCAGGTGCCTGCATAAATATCTGTATTGTGCCCTGAGCACAGCTGTCAGGCCCCACCTCCCGCCAAAACAGCCTCATTCACGCGTGATTCCGCTGCAATGCGCCAGCACCACCGTGCTCATCCCCCTCCAACCCCCAGACCCAGAAAGGTGGCGAGACGCAGGGCAATGCGACGGGCGACGTGGCCAACGACCACTACCACAGGTGGCGAGAAGACCTGGCCGCCATGAAGAGGCTCGGGGTCAAGACATACCGGTGCGGTCACAGTTTGGAGGGGGGGTAAAGGGGTTGGGAAAGGCGTGTGTGGGGTGTATAGCACAGGGGCATCAGGAGGACTGCGGTCGAGAGGCGACTCTAAAGTGGCTGCAGCTGCAGCATGCCTGACATGGGTCAGGTGGGGAGCAGACACGGGTGTGGCTCGACCTCTCAAAGGCTGCGTCGCCGAAGCGGCATCCAGTGCGCGGCACCATGCCAGACCACGTCTGCACGCCGCCAACAAACGCAGCCACCCGGGACGCGCCCACTTGCGTGCGGGCAGCCCCACCGCTTCAGAATTTCTTTCAAAACGAAGCGGCGCCCAACTCGTGCCAGCGCGCCTGCAGCCTGCGCGTGACGGCAGCATGACAACGCGCTTCCCTCATCCAACAGCGGGGCGCAACTCGGGCGCTCGCGCCCCGCTCGGCGCTTTCCTCGCTCCTTCCCCCCTACCCCTGCGCGCGCAGCTTCTCTGTGGCGTGGTCGCGCATCGTGCCGTCGGGTGTCGCGGGGTCCCCTGTCAATGCGGCCGGCGTCAGGTGGTACCGCGAGCTGGTGGAGGCGCTGCTGGGGGCAGGCATCGTGCCCGCCATCACGATGTACCACTGGTGGGCCGAGGGGGAGATTGCGAGGCACTCTTGTGTGCCGTGATTGACGTTGCTGAGCTGCCGCTGCCTTAAGGGAGGATGGGGAAGCAGGGGGTGCCGCATGTGTGCACTGCTGACCCTGAATCAACGCGTGGCCCACTCCCTTGGTTGCTGGGGCCCTGTCGACACAAAAGTGCACATGTTTGCTTGACACACGCATGTGCCTGCATGCACACACTTGCACATGCATGCACACGCACCTTTGTGCGTGACCACACACACACACACACACAGCGCACACCACCACCGCCACCCCCCAGGGACCTGCCCCAGGGCCTGCAGGACAGCAGTGGCGGCTTCCTGGCCGAGGGGGCCGCCTTCCAGGACGCCTTTGTGTACTACGCGGACACACTGTTCAGGGAGCTGGGGCCGCTGGTCAAGCTGTGGATGACGTGAGGGGCCGGGGTTGAGAGACCTGTGCCGCCCAGCACGAATTTAGGGCATGTCTGTATGTGTGGAGGGTGTGGGTGTGGGTGTGGGTGTGGGTGTAGGTGTAGTTATGAATTGGGGTGTTGGACGCGGAGGATGGGGCTCCGAGCATGTGTTTGGGGTTGGGAAGTCCTTGCGAGCAGGCGCGTGCGCCCTCCCCTCCACGCGCGTCCTCACCAGCTTCCATGCCCCTCAATCTGAGGCTGCTGCCCCCACAACACCCAACATGCACAAGTCGTCACGCGTCGTGGTGGGATCCTTGCCTTCAACCCTCCACCCATACGCACCAACCCCTCTTTGCACGCCACTCCCGACCCAGCTTCAACGAGCCGCTGTCCATCTGCGAGCTCGGCTTCAGCGCGGGGGTCTTCGCGCCCGGCATCAAGCTGGGGCCTGCGGGGCAGTACAGGTGCGGCCGCAACCTGCTGCTGGCACACGCGCGCGCCGTGAAGCTGTACCGCCAGAAGTACCGCGCGGCGCAGGGCGGCCGGATTGCTATGGCGCTGGACGGCAAGTGGGGTTGGCCCTACGACGCGAAGAGCGAGGCCGGTGAGGGGCGGCACGTGGGGTGGCGTTGGGTGGGTTGGGGTGGGATGGGGTGGAGGGCAGGGCAGGAGACACACATGTACTCTCGTTCTGTGCCCATTTTTTCCCATTGTCGCTGTGTGTGGGCCGAGGGGGGGGGGGGGTGGTGCTGGTTGGCGAAAGTCGCACGCGGCGCAGGGAAGGGGGCAGGCATTGCAGACCAAGGCGTGGCCGTGGCTGTCCCCTGTTGGATACGGCTGCTGGATTAATTCAATCCCAAGCGATCCACAAACGCCGACGCACATCCAATTTTGCTGCTTTCCGGCCCCCCTCCCTTCCCGCCCTGTGCAGACAAGAAGGCGGCGCAATACTGTGAGTTTTGACAAGGGCAGAGGGCCCAGGGCGTGGCCGTTGGCAACCCCTCTGGGGTGACGAGCCCGACAGGGAGGGCAAGGGGCCCTGCCGTTCTCCTCCTGGCTGGATGCGCCGGAAAGGTGCTGCCGGGTGCAATGAATTAAGCTCCTGTCAGTGCCGACCACGAGTGACCTTCAAACCTGGGCCCCTCGTGGTGTTGCCTGTGCGGCCCCCCCTGCAGCTCCTCCCCTCCCCTCCCCTCCCATCACACACACACACACACACACTCACACTCACCAAGACATTCCCAACCTTCACCCTTGCCCTTCTCAACGCCCATACAGCCCTCACACCCCTCACACCAACATGATGACTTTGCTGCGCCCCTGGCCTCCCCCTCTTCTTGACGCCCCCCCCCCAAAAAACAGGGATGGAGTTCCAGTACGGCTGGATGGCCGACCCCGTCTACTTTGGGGACTACCCGGCCTCCATGCTGCAGCACCTCAACGCCTCACTGCTGCCGCGGTTCACGCGGGAGGAGGGCGTGCTGCTCAAGGGGACCCTGGACTTCTTCGCGGTCAAGTGAGGGGACGCGCTGCCAGGACGCCACGCCAGGCTCGCCTCCTGCTCGTCCTGCCGCCGCCCGGCTCCAGCCATGCCAGCTGCTGGCATTCTGGGGGGCGCTGCCCTGGGTGCCCAGTGCCTGCCTGCGGCACAGCACCATGTCCCTCCCCCACACCATTACTCTTCGCACCTTGTGCATCGTCCACGCGCCCCCACACCCTACATCCCCCTGACCTGCCCGCGTTGCATCCACTAGCTTCTACTGCGGCTACTTCATCCAGGCAAGGCAGCCTGACGCTGAATCACCCTACCCCTACACAGTGCTGCACAAGGTGCAGGGGTGGGGGTTGGAGGGGAGGGTGGCAGAGGTGTGCATCTGTAAGGGGGGCTTGGACCGTGTAGCTGCCAAGGGGCCATCAGGGCAGGGGCGTACAGGGAACCATCACGTTCTTTGGGTCTGGTGGGTATTGGGGAGCTTGAGGGTCGCAGGGCTGGGGGTGATGGGGAAGGTGGGTTTGGGCGAGGGGGCACCCTTGGACCCTAAGTCTGGTGCCAGGGCCTGTCGATCACTGCTGGCGCATGATAGTTGCTGCGGCGCCCAGCCGCTCAAGCGCCTAACCCCCTGCACCCCCAAAACTGCGGGCCCAAATCGGCACAGAACGCCAGCGGCCAGTGGGTGGGCACCCCCACGGTGTCATCGTGGCTGTTTGTGACACCCACGGCGCTGCGTGAGACCCTGGTGTGGCTGGACCGCCGCTACAGCGTCGGCGGCCGCAAGGTGGGTGGGGTTGATTTGCAGCGGGCCGAGCCAGGGGCCTGACAGGCTCGGGGCCATTCGGAGCGGTGGCCCGGGGCGGGACACGGGAATGGCTGGCGGGGCGGGGCGATGCAGGGCCTATTGGCTGCCTATCTGGATCAGTTGCCTTCAAGCTCGCTCTAATGGGACGCGGTCCCTTCCCTTCCACGGCGCTCTGCAACGAAGTCTGTGCCGTTCATTGCCCCGGCCCCCGCCCTGCACAGGTCGAGTTCTCCATCAGTGAGAACGGCGTGAGCGGCCCGGCGGAGGACAAGTTGCGGCCGCCGGCCGTCCTGGAGGACACCTTCCGCCTCAGCTACTACACGTGAGGCACCGCAGGCTGAGCATTTTACGAGCGTGTACGTATGCGGCTGTGGGTGGGGCCGCGGGCTGTTTGAACAAGGTGCCCCGGACGCCTGCCCATGCACTGACCGGAACGCCTGAAAAATGTCAAAACAGCGCCTCTGTTGGTGGCCACCCACATCGCATTAGTGGATACCATGAATGGCCACCCAGCATGCCCTGCGCCCGATGTGCGCGGCTGCAGCCTGGCAGCGGATTCCAGCCTGCTCCCCCCGTGCCCCAGCTGAGCGTCCAAGCTGCCGCGGCTGACCCTCCCCTGGAATATTCTCCAGTGGCTACCTCACCAGCCTGTGCCGGGCCATCCAGGAGGACGGCGTGAAGTTCACAACCTACTGGGCCTGGTCGCTCTGGTGAGCTGGCGCTTCCTGCAGGGGATGGGGAAGGGGGGTTGCGACTGCCCGGCCCAGTAGCAGCTGCCTCAGGATGGCTGCCGGCACGTCCCTGCCGCCGTGTTTGGTGCTGCTGCGGCTCTGGGATCACCTCGCCTCCGCCAGCCCATGTGGCGCGAGACAGTGGATGCTGCGTTGGCGAACGACTGGCGTGCAGCTGCCATCACAGTCCATTGTATCACAAGATGGGTTCAACTGTCAGTTTGAACAGTCAGGTGTCATCCTTACACGCTCTTTGCAGAGGTTGTGCACGGGGTAGTTGTGGTGGAAGGGCAGATGAGCAGTGGGGGATGCGTGTCCCTTCCTGCCACCCGACTGCCCCTCCCGGCCCCATTACCACCCTTCTTGTCTCCCAAGGGATAATTTTGAGTGGCGTGAGGCCTACACCCAGCGCTTTGGGATGATCTACGTTGACCTCAAGGTGCGATGAGTGGCGGGGGCCGCAGGAAGGGGGGGCGCGCAGGGTGGTGACAGGCATTGAATACTGCAGCTGCCTTGTCTCGATCAGCCATGACTGGTCTCAACAGGTTGACGGATTTCTCTTTTCAAAGTTGGTTGACGCTCCTGTTGCCAGCCAGCAGCAATACACCAACCCCCTCCCGCCTGTCCATGCGCCCCCTCCTGCCGCCATGCTCCCACACGCCCGCTCCTGCCCCAGAACAACCTGACGCGCACCCCCAAGGCCAGCGCATGGTGGTTTGCAAAGCACTTCTACAGCGGCAGCGCGCGCCACGACGCATCCCACTATCACGGCCTCTGGCCGGGCGCCAAGGCCTTGAAGGCGGGGCGCTGACAAGCACGACACGGGCATGCATCCCTGCGTGCCACGCCCCAAACAGGGCTGATTGATCGGAACTCAACTGCTCAGCAGCTCAGCCTGTATCCTTTTGATCGTTGGGGGGTGCCACCAGTGGTTTTGCCTGCCAGCAGAGATTGCTGAACAACACCGGTGTTTCCCGGTGGCGTTATCTTACCTTGGCCCACACGGATCAAAAGTTTTTGTTTGATATCTGGCTGGCACCTGATCGAACCAGGCGCCCCCAGTCGTGCTTCAACTCCACTCGTACTGTGATGGCAGCTGTGCTGCAGGCAGGCTCTGCCAGACTTATGCTGCATCCTTGTGTGTCAGCGCAATAACGTGTTCGCATTGTCCTACAGCTGTTCACCCCAATACAATGTTGCTGCAGCGCATCCCGTATTGCACACAGTGGGTGCCCTTGAACTTCCCGCTGCTTGGGCTGCAGTCCATATTTTGAGGTCTGGCCGGCGGCCGCGGAGCGCAAGCAAAAGTGTCCGGCCCTTGCACTGCCCAGGCTGATACCTTATCAGGATTGCCGCATAAGTGGCCCATCTGCAGGTCCCACGTTGGCGACACCATTTCTCTGTTGAGGATGGCGAGCTTTAAGTGGCCATGATTTGGTGCCGTTGCCCTTGCGTATTTAACTCACCTGCAGTTTTGCAGGCACCCATTTTGAGCGCTTTGAGTCAATAACAGCTTACAACGTACCCCCACATTTGTCTTGGCCGCTGTCAAAATGCAGGTACAGTAGGCAGGCAGCTAGGTCCCTTGAGGCCTGGACGGTTGCCCACTTTTTGGCAGCCTCCCTGAAAATGTTGTCTTCCAAGTAACACGCCTATCTACATAAAAGGAGAATTCCTCGCAATTGACGCGCCGCGGCGCTTCATTGTTTGGCCGGTGCGCTCTCGTTTCAGAGCTGTGTGCAGGCGAATGCGCTCGTCAGTCCGCCCAGTTCGTCAAGGTGCAAGACCTGCATTTTTCGGCGGTGGGGTGGTCAACAGCCTGGTGTTCATGGCACCATCCGCCATACACCTCTACTGCCCGGGGCTGGTAAGGCGAGATTTTCTGCAAATTGCTGCGTTCTGGGAAGCCGGTGGTGCGGCTGGGAGTTCTCAGACATGATGCGCGCACTGTGCGGTGGCGCCCCTTTGCCTGCCCTGGCAAAGGCTCCTGACTTGAGCGCGCCATGCCCCCTCCTCATCGCCGAGCCCACGGATGCGCTAGCCGCAATGCACCCCGCGCTCACGGTGCAGTTGGAGCTTGTAAGACTCTGCTCAACGGTGCTGGAGGTGCCTCAAGGCGCTGGTGCCGGCGTAGCCTGCAGAGTACTGGCCTGCCGAGGCATCCTCATGATACCCTGCTTCCTGCGCAGACTTGCACTTTGCCAGCACCCCACTTGCGGGCATGCGCCATTACAATCACATAACCTCGTTCAATTGCCGCACAAGCATGCGGTATCCACAGCAGCCATGCTGGCGTGTCATTTGCTGCGCCGAAACGCACAGCAGCACTGACAGGCTTGTTGGCCCCTGGATCTCCATTATGTGGGAACACAACAAACGATAACGGCAGTCCGCCAGCCTGTGAAATCGTCGTGGATGCAGATGCGTACACCTGCAGCCCTCCAGGGGCGCATGAACAACACCCCAAAAGCAATCATTCCCGGCGAGCCCCTCCCTCCAAAGATGCAGGGCGGTTGCGCTCAATGCTTGGGTGCTTGCTTCGATGTATGTCAACTGTCGTGTGTAGCGTTCAATTCAAAGGGGAGTGCGGCACACAACACTCAGTGCAATTCCATGGGTTGGAGAATATTTTTGCCCCATCAGAGCACCCAGAATTCCCAGAAAGAATTGTGAGCCCCAGCAGATCAATAGGCAGTGCTGCACAATCAATTGAGTCGCCTGCAGTGCAAACGCGACATCCAGGCACTGTTTTGAGCGAGCGGGTGGCAGCCGACCTTGCAAGTTTGTGCGTGCTCCTCTGCAGAAGTCAGTAATGGGTGGCAGGGGGTCGCAAATCCCTCGTGGTCCATGATCATGAAAGTGCTCAAGATCACAGGTGCACCTCCGGTGAGTCACCGCACACCAGAGCACCCCGTGTTCACGCCGCTGTGGTCACATCCCGTGGCCACACCCTGTGGTCACGCCCCGTGGTCGCACCCCGTGGTCACACCGCTGTGCGCTTGTCAAGTCACCCGCAAGTGTATCAGCGCACACGGTCGCCAGAGTTGCGCTGCACGTACATCCCTGCTGCTTCCAGCATGTAGGGACGAGCTAGCGCTCACCGCAGCGCACAAACAGCAGCTGCGCCGTACGACACAAATGCTTGTCTGAGTAACAGTGAGCGTGTGGCTCCCTTCAACCCTTCTTCTGGCGCTGCATGCCGTGAGACTTGCAGTAGTCGTAGTCCACTGGGGCCTGCACCAGCCCGGTCAGGGCGGCTGAGCGTATTCGTGAGGGCCACGCAGGCATGGGGTACCGGCAGAGTCAGGCCACGAGAGGCTTAGGGGGTTGATTTGTGTGCGTCTCGAGTCAAAAATGCAATGGCGCTGGATAACCAGCACTGGCCGCTGCCGCTGGGCCGAACAGCAGCGCCGTACGTGCCAGTTGCATGCGTGCAGCTGCCTTAACATCCAGGTGCTGACCAGCTGGGCAACGCTAGCAGCCCATCGATCCCACATGTCGGCAAGGCACAGGCAACCCCAAATTCATCCCCCCGCACCCGTCCAGCCCGAGTTGTAGTCGATGGCGACCTCATTGTTGCGGGGGTCGTCCCGCTGGTCGCGGTACAGGTCTGACGGATCCGGGCCTCCCACCAGCGCCCCGGCGATGACGCGGGGGTTGGGGCCGGGCGCGTTGACCGCACGGTAGTCACATGGCTGGGGG